ATTTGGAGGCTCGAGGGGAGGAGGTCCCTCCGGGCTGCTCTGAGAGGGGCGACTCAGCGATTTCGGGGCAGGCCCCAGTCTCTTTCGTGTGCCCGTGCCACTGTGCGCCTTCAGTTTTCACGTACTCCTGCCCTTCGCGCTCATATCCGCGAGCACTTTCCCGACGGCGCGTTCGCGGACCTTTAGAATTGTCTCGAAGATGGGCGAGTTGATGGCGGCGGCGTCGACGGCGCCGGCGGCCGAGCACAGGGCCGTCGGCTCGGCGAACATGGATCAGGGCGTGAGGGGCCATCAACGCGGCCAAGAGCGTGGCGGGCATAGACTGATCCACCAGGCGCATCCAGGGCGCCCCGCGCCAGGTGGCAATCGCGGCGGAGCCTCGCCCGCATCTCGAGCCGATTAAGGAGGGCACGAGGCAGTGCGACGCCGAGAAGAAGGCGGCCACGACGCCCGGGGAGTCGGCCGTGCTCATTCCCGCCCGGGCTCGCGCTTGGGTCGAGCTCGCGAACGCTGCGAAGGCGGGCCAGTCTGCGCCCGCCTCCGCCCCGCGCCTGATCGCCCACCGCGGTGATCGGGCCGACATCGAGGTGATCGAAGGCTACGTCATCACCTTTTTCAAGGAGTTTCGGCAGAAGTCGCGGGGCGACAAGGATTGCTTCAAGATCGAGTTGCTGGTCATTCCAGAGATGAGGTCCGTGACGAACGAGATCATGGCCGCGATCGCACTAGAGCCACGCGTCGAGCTCAAGCGAGGGGCCCCGCCCCGCATCCCGAGCATTCGACAGATCGTGCAGCAGGGTCTCCGTGGAAATGGGCGAGCTTCAGGGGCCGCAGTAGCCGCAGGAGAAGCAAGCTGTGCTCATCGTGACGGCGATGAAGCACGCGGTCGAGAGGGGGGCGCATCCGCTGGAGTGTTGCACTTCGGTCGCGAGGAGGCTCCCGGCCTGCGTGTGAGCGGCCTTTCGGCTAGTCCGCGTGCGTTGTATTCGAGGAGTGTATTTCTCGCGCTGAAGTTTTGGAGAAAATGGGAAAAGTGCGCCAGGGTATCTAGTCACGTACTAGAGTTGTGTTTGTGCAGCAGTGGGTGACGTTCAGGCTTCTGGACGTGCCCTGTTGGCCTGAAGACGGTGGTGCCTTCTTGCTTCTAGAACCGTCCCCGTGCCAGTGCGGGGGCCAGTGCTCCGTGGTCAGTTATCTTTTTTTTTTCTCCACATTTTGAGCCACGAGGAGTGTGCATAATGCCTCCCGCGGACTTGGGAGGGGCATCTGCAGCATGTACCTCGCGACCGTAATTCCAGCTCGCCGTGCTCTCTTCCGATGCGGGTCGTTTGCGGGGCGGGCTGACAGCCTGATCGGGCTAGAGATAAAGAAAGAAAGATCAGCATCATCATCATCATCATCATCATCATCATCATCATCGGCGTCATTATCACCATCATGAGCAGCATCGTCATCCTCATCATCATCATCATCAGCATCATCATCATCATCAGCATCATCTTCATCATCTTCATCATCAATCTCAGGTTCTTCGTGATCTGCTGCTGCTGCTTTCGCCCGACGCGGGCCAGGACGTGCCCTCGCCCACGTCGCCCGCATTGCAGGAACACCCAGTCGCGCACCCGTGCGAGCTCGCGCCGCCGTGGCCACACATTGCCGCGTGGTCGCCTTCGTCGGGCAGAGACGACGGGGACGAGGACGAGAAGGACGGTGAGGATGACAACGCCGAGAAGGACGAGGACGCGGGCGAGGAGACGAGGAACAGGATGATGATGATGATGATGATGATGATGATGATGATGATGATGATGATGATGATGATGATGATGATGATGAGGGATGATGAGGATGATGAGGATGATGAGGATGAGGACGATGATGATGATGATGATGATGATGATGATGATGATGATGATGATGATGATGATGATGATGATGATGATGATGAGGATGAGGATGAGGATGAGGAGGAGGAGGAGGAGGAGGAGGAGGAGGAGGAGGAGGAAGAGGAAGAGGAGGGGGAGGAGAAGCAGGAAGGAGGAGAACGAGCACCATAATAAACCAAGCATGAATCAGATCAGCGATGCTGCAGTGCACCCTACGGCCCCGAGCTGTCTCCCAAAATCTCCTTACAGGATTCCTTTCTCACGACAGAGCTTCCCCGAGAAAGACCGGCACGGTTGGGCATGGCATTGAGGCGAGAGCCCCGCTTAGAAGCGGCATAGTATTGAGGTTCTTGGCCGCTGAATCCTCCTCCTCCTCCTCCTCCTCCTCCTCACGAGCACGGAAGACTAGGATCATGCATTCCAGCGATAGCCCGTTTTCGAAGAAGGACCCAACCCATCCGTGTACATTTTCACAGTTATAGCAACAGTGGTCATGAGTTTCAAGTGAGCTTCGGACGACAACTCAAGATCGAAAAAGAGCCACCCGGGATCGGTGCGGCGGTACATGTGTTGAAGCCAACTACGTCTCCAGTCCTTCACTGTTCTCAACGCTGCATTAGCAAACGAATGTTCGCGGCGCTGGGGCGAGAGTTCCATTTTGAAAACGACGTAGGCTCAATATTTGAAGATGTTGCAAGATGTTGGGACGAATGCGCGCGTCTCGAAGGCGAGATCGCCATTTTGAAAAGAAACGGCCCTCCATCTGGAAGGTTGTAATATGTGAAAGACGAGCGTGTGTGGCGTTCACCCGATGGCAACATTTTGAAACAGACCCTCGTTTCCATCCTTGTTCTTTAAATTGCTGCAAACGCTTAAGGCGCGCGGCGCTAAGGCGAGAGCCACTTTTTGAAAACGCCACACTCTCTCCATCCCCGAAGCTGTTGCAAGCTTTTAGGACGAATGTGGCGTGGTGTTTTGACGAGGGCCGTATTTTGAAAGCGCCCCCCCTCCATCCCTTACAATCAACCCGAATGCCGACATGGCCTTCCAAGGCCCTTGCATCATTACCGTGCATCCTTATGATACGGGCCGACTGCACTTTGGTGCAAGGTTTTAAGACGAATGCGTGCGGCACTGAAGAGAGCGCCACATTTGACAAACACTCCGCCTCCATCCTTGAAGCTGATGCACATGTGTTCAGAGGTGCTGGAGCGAGCGCCGCATTTTGAAAACGCCCCCCCCTCCGTCCTTGCAGCTGCTGCAAACATTTTAAGAGGCGCTAAAGGCGAGAGCCACATTTTGGAAACGAGACCCCTCTCCAGGAGCTCGCGCAGTCTTACCACTACGTCGGTGACCCTCTCGGGTGGCTCCCCATGGAGGCGGCGGAGGAGGGAAGAGGAGGAGGAGGAGGAGGAGGAGGAGGAGGAGGAGGAGGAGGAGCGGGGACGTGGGCCGAGGAAGGGAGCAGTAGGGGATCGGGCGGCGGAGCGACGAGCCTCCTCCTTTCTGTCTGCCTCCTCGTGCCCATCTCCGGCCCGCCTTGTCCCTTCTCTCCCTTCCGCCTCACTGTGCCTTCCTGCGTCCTGCCTCGGCACTCCTTCCCCCTTCTTCTACCCAGACCTCCGAGGTCACGATTGTTTTCCATCCGTGCGTCCCAGGGGAGCTCTCGACCGCTTCCCCTGGGCCGGTTTTTCGTCCCCCATCGTTTTTTCCAGGAAGTGTTCTGGCCCCTGGGCATGCGTCCGTCCTGGCCTTGGGCCCTAGACTGGAGGGCTTTCAATCAGTGGGCGTCGGACCCTTCACGCGCAGAGATGCGTGCGCGGAGGGGGATATCGAAGACGCGTTCGGCGCGTGCGCATTTGGAACGTACAGTGGGGACCCATGCCAAGAAACACCCTGCTTGCCTCCAGGGTGCCCTGGGTGGTTTCGACAGTTTTGCTGTGGAAGGCGTGACGTGCCCACGCCAAAAGTCGATGGACGCCCTGGGGTCTCAGGGTCGGGTTTCTTGTGGAAGGCTTCTTGTGGTCGGGCTCCCACTGTATCGATGACGCGTTCGCGCGTGCGCGTTTGGTACGTCTTTTCCTGCGTGTCGTCGCTACGCGGGGGGTATCCAGCACACTGGGCTTCTGTCGGGCCTCTCGGCTCCGGGGCGCCGCCGGAGGACGGAGGGCGAGCCTCGGGTGGGAGCAGTGCGAAGGGCGCCACGTACAAGTTCCGACTCCCGTTGGCTCCTTGCCATTGCTTGCTGCAGGCGTGTCAACGAGGGGGGGAAGTGAGAAGGAGATGGCCTTCTCATAAGGCGGCGGGACTTTCAGAAGCAACCGGGTCTTCTGAGAAGTTTTTCTTGTCTTCGGGAAAGGCTTCGAAAGCTTCTCAGAAGGCCAGGGGACTGACGAACCTTCTGAGAAGGCCTTCTCCTTCTCACTTTCCCCCCTCGCTCGCCGCCAGCTGCAGACGCGCAAGAGAACGTCAGGCCCAAGGTCCTCAGCAGGGTCGTGGATCCGTCAAGTTGGAAGGTCCAGGGGCCCGAATCGGGCCCCCGCGGCCCAAGCCGAGGAAGGTTGGCTGTCTCGGCTTCTGCGTGGCGAAGGGCGTCCTCTCTATCCCCGAAGGGCTCTCCCCGAGCTGGCCCTCCTTGTCCTGCAGCTCGTGCCTCCTCCTTCCTCCCCCCTCCTGCCTCCCGCTGCCCCGCCTCGGCCCTCTGCCTGCTTCCTCTCCGCTTGCCTCCTGCTACAGTCAACCCGCAAGGAGGAGGAGGAGGAGGAGGAGGAGGAGGAGGAGGAGGAGGAGGAGGAGGAGAAAGGATGGGCAACCATCCCAAGGTACCCTTGCATCCTTCCCCTTCGGCCCATCCTTGGCGACTTCCGCTGGCCGGCCTCGCTCGAAGAACGCCAGCATGGCCCTCCAAGGCCCCTGCATCCATACCTCGCATCCTCATGATACGGGTTGACTGCCAGCCTCCCTCCCCCATCGAAGGGCGCCCCCCCTCGCTCGAAAAACGCCAGCATGGCCCTCCAAGGCCCCTGCATCCATGCCTCGCATCCTCATGATACGGGTTGACTGCCAGCCTCCCTCCCCCCTCGAAGGGCGCCCCCGAGCTGGCCCGAGCCCCCGCGGATACCCCTCGGAGGCCCCGCGCGGAGGCGGCGCCCGCGGTGGCGATGTGCGCGGCCGGCGGCCCCCGCCAGAGCGGCCGGACTGCTTGGGCGCCGCGGCGGCGGGGCAGCAGGAGGGCGTCTTGCTCCCTTTGTCGTGCCCTGGGGAAGAAGAGGAGGAGGAGGAGGAGGAGGAGGAGGAGGAGGAGGAGGCACTCGTCTCGGCCTTCTTCTCCCGCCTCGGTTTCAGCATGCTGCCCGCTGCCGCGACGCTCGTCTCTAATGCAACTAACGCTCAGAGAGATGCCGCTCTCGAGCTACTCACCGAGCCCCCGTGATCGGGCGCTGGCCGCCACCGTGCGCTTCCAGCTCAAGCGGCGATGGACGCAGACCCGTCGTGCGCCTCGGGTACATGCGAGGAGGGGCAGGATGCTGAGCGGAGGGGGAGGAAGAGGACTGCTGTGAGGACGGAGGCGACCACCAGAGAAGTGCTAGAGACTAGGCAATTTGGAAAACAAACGAGAGGATCCAGCGGTATGGCCGAAGCCTATTTCCCACTGGCTGAGCGCTATGTGGTACGTATGGCGCTTCACCAGCACGCCTCGGCCGTACCACGAGGACGCCGATTTTCCACAGGTTTCAACTTGTTGACGCTTCACACACACATGTATATATATATATATATATATATATATATATGTACATATATATATATATATATATATATATATATCCCGACCAGCCCATCCAGGAACGACCCCCAGGCTAGTTGCCTCGTTCAGGGAAGTGTAGGAGCACGCTGTAAGCCAACGAAGGGTCACCGAAGCTCGGGGTCCGCCTGGGCAGAATCTAAGGACCTACCATTAATGCCATTGCGGATCTTTCGATCTAGGCGCCTTTTGAAGACTTCTCGGGGCCTGTTTTGGGCGCTGTTGGGGGCAGGTTGGTTGCAGTTGGGGCTCTCTTGGGCCCTTCTCAGGCCGTGGGGGCGTCGATTCAAAAATGAGCTGCGCGGATGAGCACTGGCCCATTGGAGCCCGAAACAGTGTCTCTTGGAGCCAGACAGCGAGGAACGTCAGATGCTTCAGGGGCCTTGGCTTCTCAGGGGTCTCCTTGGCAGGTTCCGTGGCCACTTGGAGCCGTCGTGGGGCCTCTTGGGGGCATGCTGGAGGTCATCTTGAGCAAATCTGGGCCACACTGCAGGCCATCTTAGGACATCTGGGGCTATCTTCGAACCATTCTAGCCCCAAAGCCTCCCAAGGAAGCCCTCGAAAGGTCACTATCATACATCAACCCAAGGTCTGTTGTTCAATGTTTCTCTTTATGGAAAAGAAGCGACGTGAATTGGTATTGCCTTTTCTGGAGCCCGCCAAGTCGTGATTTGGAGTCTCGGAGTACGAAATAACATCCAACAGCACTAGGCACTTGAAGGATTTTGATTTCTCGGGGTCTCCATGGGAGGCTCCGTTGCCATTTAGATCCGTACAGTCAAAACTTAGAATACGGATTCACGACTTTCCTTGTGTACCTCTGCGTCCTTGCATTGTTTTTGCTGTTGGTGCCGACGCCCATTCGGCAATGACTGGGGTGGGTTACGGTATCATTGCGTCCCTGGGATGTTGGCAGCCCGCCGCCTCAAAAGTGCCAACTTCGACATCCAAGGCCATTGCGTCTTTACCCCCGTCCTTATATCATAGATTTCGGAGGTATGCTGGGGTCATCTTGAGCCGACTTGTGCGCCATTTTGGAGGCTATCTTAGCACATATGGGGCCATCTTGGGCCACCCTGGCCTCAACGCCTCCACAGGATGCCCCCGAAAGGCCGACATCATTTGAAACCCGACGAGTGTTCACTGATTCTCTTCATGATCATTGCCGCATTGACACCCTGAAGCTTGACAGCTTGTCTTTGAGACCTCTTCGGGCGCGTCTTTGGCCGCTCTGATGGCCGGTTTGGGGCCTTTATGGGTCCATATTGGGCTCTCTTGGAACCGTCTTGGACCCTCACAGGCCTATTGGAAACGATACGGGCAGAAGGCAAGGCGCCATGAAACAATTGGGTTTTGACAGGCGTTGGCTTCTCTGTGGTTCTCCATGGGAGACATTGTGGCCACCTGGATCCGTCTGTTAGCCTTTTTAGAATCATATTGGAGACCACCGTGAAGCAACTTGAACCATGTTGGAAGCGGGGATTTAGCTGTGGGCATCATGCCGTTCTGATTTGTACCCGAGGTCACAGAAGTTTAGTTGATGTTTGGATGGGGGCCCCTGTATGGGGCCCAGCGAGCAGACACCTGCCAACTCGTCGCACTCCTCCTCCTCCTCCTCCTCCTCCTCCTCCTCCTCCTCCTCCTCCCTCCTCCTCCTCCTCCTCCTCCTCCTCCTCCTCCTCCTCCTCCTGCTCCTCCTCCTCCCTCCTCCTCCTGCTCCTCCTCCTCCTCCTCCTCCTCCTCCTCCTCCTCCTCTGCGCCCTCGGCCCTCCTCCGCTGCCTCGCCCTCCCCCCCCCCCCTGGAGCGCCCTTCACCCCGCCGGGGCGGCGACGGCGGAGGCGGCAGGCGACGGCAGCGGCGGCAGGCGAAGGCCTGCCGCCGCCGCCGCCTGCCGCACGCGCGAGCAAGCAAGACGCGCTGCCCAGTGCCGGCGAGCCGCTCCCGCCCGCCGCGCAGCCGGAGCCCGCCTGGGAGCCAGCCGTGAGGCTCGGGGGGGGGGGGGCGCCGTGGCCCGTCGGCGGCCTCGGGGGCAGTGGGTCTTCTTTTCCGGCTGGAGGATGGGGGTGGCGAGGGAGAGGGGAGGGGAGGGAGGGGAGAGGAGAGGGAGAGGGAGAGGGAGAGGGGAGGGGTGGGGAGGGGTGGCGAGGGAGAGGGGAGGGGAGGGGAGGGGGAGGGGAGAGGAGAGGAAAGGAGGGGAGGGGAGGGGAGGGGATGGGAGAGGAGAGGGAAGGAGGGGGGGGAGGGGAGGGGATGGGAGAGGAGAGGAGAGGAGTGGAGGGGAGAGGAGGGGAGGGAAAATGGAGAGGAGGTCCCGTAGCTCTGAGGACTTCGCCGAAAGCCGAAACCAGCGAGGGAGCCGCGAAGGAATGGAAAGAATGGCAACCCGTAGCCGCGCGTTTTGCCTCCGCTCCGGGGATGTCCCTTTCGCGGACGGCACTGGCCCTCAAGAGCTCGTAAGGCTGACGTGCGAATGCACGGTGGCGGTTCTATGTGTATATATATATATATACATACATACATACATACATACATACATACATACATACATACATACATACATACATACATACATACATACATACATATATATATATATATATGTATATATATATATATATATATATGTATATCCCGGGGGAGCAGGCCCGGGGCCCGAAAACAGCTGCCTCGACCCTCCATGGGAGGACCAGGGCTCATTTTCCATGTGTTTTCACAGGGTTTCCGCGTCCTGGGCCTCGGAGGCCGCCGCCTCCGACCCCCCATGGGAGGACGGGGCGGCCGGGGAGGTCCAAAATAGTCCAGGAGGGCCTCCAGAGGCTCCCAAGACGGCAAGCGGGTTCCGAGTCGCCGAAAGACCGCTCCAGGACGCCCAAGATAGGCCCAAGACAGCCCGAGAGGCCCCCCAAGGCACTCCACGACGCTTCAAGACGCCTCTCCAGAGCGCTTCAAGAGGCCGAAATCGTAAATTGTATGAAGGTTTTCGAACGATTTTGGCCTTCCAGCCTTTTCGGCTGTCCGACGTTCCAAGACGGCTCAATAGGCCCCCAAGAGCGCCCCAAGACGGCCCAAGAGGGCCCCAAGACGGCCCCAGAGTCGCCCAAGACAGCCCAACAGAGCCCCAAGACGGCCCCAAGATGCAAAACGGCTACCGAGAAGCTGCGAAACTGCCTTCACGACGTCCCCGACAAGCCAACCACGAGATCCAAACAAACACCCATGAGGCCTCTGACCCACCACCCAGGGCACGGTGGCGGGAGCAGTGATAGCACTTGTGCACAGCATGTTCCGGCGGGAGCCTTCCGGAACACGCTGCAGGAGGAGGAGGAAGATCAGGAGTATAGAGAGAGCTGGAGTGGGAGGAGGAGGAGGAGGAGGAGGAGGAGGAGGAGGAGGAGGAGGAGGAGGAGGAGGGGACGAGGAGGAGGAAGAGGCCTCCAAGACAGCTCCAAGATAGCCGAAGAGGCTTCCAAGAGGGCCCTGGGCGGCCCACGAGGGCCCCAAGGCGGTGCCTGAGGCGCCCAAGACGGCCCGAGAGGGCCCCAGGACGGCCCCAAGAGAGGCCCAAGAAGGGAAACACGAACCGAGAATCCGAGCTTTCTACCCCGAGAGGTTCTCGGGAAGTCCCAAGAGGCCCCTAATCGGATCCAAGAGGCCCCCAAGAAGCTCCCAAGAGCGCCGACGAGGTTCCAAGAGATCTCCCAAGATGGCCCCAAGAGGCACAACTCATTGTTTTACGATTGGGTTTTGACGGGTTTTAATTGTTTCTGCCTTTTGGCATCCCGATACTCCAAGACGGCCCAAGAGGCTTCCAATACCGCTCCCATATAGAGGAAGAGGCCTCCAAGAGGGCCCCAAGACGGCCCGCGAGGGCCCCAGGACGGTGCTTGAGGCGCCCAAGACGGCCCGAGAGGGCCCCAAGAGCCCAAAGAGAGGCCCAAGAAGGGGAACGCGACCCAACAGCAGAGCGTTCCCCCAAAAGGCCCACAGGAGGCCGCAAGAGGCCACCAAGTGGTCCGACGAGGACCCCAAAAGCTTCCCGAGGGCCTAAAAGGCCCCTAGGAGACGTCCAATAGGCTTTGAAATAGCCCAAGAGTGCCCTCGATGCGTCAAAACTGCTTCCAGGAGGCCCCGGGAGGCTTCCGGATTGCCTCAATCTGGCCGCAGGTGGCCTCAAGTCGGGCCTCCACGCAGCCAAGACGGCCAATGACGGCTTCAGATTGCAGAACCGATGCCCCCAGGGACCCTCAGACGCCCCCCCAAGAAGCACCCAAGAGGTGCCTCCAACAGCCAGTTGACGAAGCATGCGGAATACCCCAGAAGCTCCTCAGATGCCGTCGCGCGCCTGTGCTTGATAGCGTTGTCCAAGATCGTCCAGCGCCCCCCAGGCCTGGGCTAGAACCTGAGCGCGCGCTCAGGGTGGTCTGGACAGTACGCCCGGGCCCGGGCATATTGTTCTGAGTTCTGAATGGATGAGCATCTAACCCAAATCCACAATTCCCGGATTCCTTGGGGCCTTCGGAGACTCCGCGAAAACGTTAAGAAGCCGGGAGGCGCGGTACCGCCCAGATGTCAGGGGAGATGTAGGACCCCTGAGTAGGAGTTCCACTTTGATGAAAAAAGGAATTCTTGGAATTCCCTCTCTTGTTTCTCAAATCCTCGATATTTGATGGCTGAAAGCGGGAAAACGTGAGAATGCGAAAACATAGGACAAACCATGGGAAATCAACGATTTTACCCTCTTTGGGCTCTCTCGGGACGGCTCTCGCAGCTCTCTTGGGCTGTTCTTGAAGCCTCGTCGGGATCTCTTTGGGGCCTCTCAAGGATGGGAGGGGGTGTTGGGGGCCTCTGGAGGGTCCCCGAGGCCTCTCGGAGGTCTCTGGAAGCCTCCTGCTCCCGCTCTTGGGCCCATCTTGGGCCTGTTCTGGGGTGGTCTGGGGCTGCGCTGGGCGCCTCTTCGGCAGTCTTGGAGCCTTCTTGGCCCGTCTTGGGGCCGTCCTGAGGGTCTCTTGAGTGGTCTTGGGGCGGTCTTGGGAGGCTCTTCGGCGCTCTTGGACCGTTGGAAGCTCGACAACGCGAGAAGCCAAAAACATTGAAAAGACCATTGAACATATACGACTTTGGCCTCTTCGGATCGTACCGTGATACCTATCAGACTTCTTGGGGTCTCTTGGAGGCCACCTGGGAGCCTCGAGAGCCGTCGGAAGGCTGACTTGGGCTGCTCGGGAGCGTCTTGGGCCATCCTTTCGCATTCTGGGGGCTCCTGGGGGGCGTCTTGGGCCCTCCTGGAGCGCTGTGGAGGCTGCCCGGAAAGGCTGGGGGAGCGGTGCCGGGAGCGTCCCCGAGATGTGGCCATATTTTTTCAGCGCGTTCCGGGAGCATCTTCCCGGAATGCGCTCGTGGCAGGGCGCCCACGTCCGAGGACGTTGGCATGACAAAACCGCAGCGCGTGATCATTCCAGCGCGTTCCGGCGAAGACCGTCCGGAACGTGCTTGGGCAAGCGCTGGGTTTGGGGAAGGCGAGTGGGAACCGTTCAGGCAGTTTGGGATGCTCAGGCAAGAGGCGGCAGCCATCCTCATACGACATGCAGTCTTCCTGGAATCCGCCGGAACGCCTGGAATGATCACGCGCTGCGGTTTCCCATGCCAACGTCCTCGGACGTGGGCGCCCTGCCACGAGCGCGTTCCGCGAAGATGCTCCCGGAACGCGCTGAAAAGATATGGCCACATCTCGGGGACGCTCCCGGCACCGCTCCCCCAGCCTTTCCGAGCAGCCTCCACAGCGCTCCAGGAGGGCCCAAGACGCCCCCCAGGAGCCCCCAGAATGTGAAAGGATGGCCCAAGACGCTCCCGAGCAGCCCAAGTCAGCCTTCCGACGGCTCTCGAGGCTCCCAGGTGGCCTCCAAGAGACCCCAAGAAGTCTGATAGGTATCACGATACGGCCCGAAGAGGCCAAAGTCGTATATGTTCAATGGTATTTTCAATGTTTTTGGCTTCTCGCGTTGTCGAGCTTCCAACGGTCCAAGAGCGCCGAAGAGCCTCCCAAGACCGCCACAGGACCACCCAAGAGACCCTCAGGACGGCTCCAAGACGGGGCAAGAAGGCTCAGACCATTCGACATTGCAGTCGCCAGCGTCTGCGCTAGAACCTAAGCGCGCGCGAAGCGCGCGTGGTTCTAGTACATATATGTATGTATATATATATATATATATATATATATATATATATATATATATGCATATGTAGCTCCGAATGCACAGGTTGTCGAGGCGATCGTAACTTCTTTCCACATGTACAATATCGTACGTGTCTCGCCGCCGCCCCCCCCACAGAGGAGGAGCGGATTGGTCATCTTTACGGAATTCGCCGAGCAGCTATGGCTCTCGCCGATCTCTCACGTGCGCCCGCGTAGGCCCGATTCTGGAGGACCTTGTGAGCGCCCCCTTGGGTACGAGCGATATATATATACATATATATATATGTGTAGATGGAGACGATGGAGGTAGATCTACGTACAGAGAGAGGGAGACAGATACGGAGAAAGAGAAGCATCAAGAGAATTAAGAGAGTGATACACATACATACACACACGCCACACACGCACACGCCACACACGCACACACACACACACATCACAACAAGAGGGAGACGGCACGAGAGGGACAGCGAGACGGAGAGAGGGGGGGGGGCACATTCCTATACTCTTGTTGCCAGTGGCGATCCGGAGGGTCAGGCGGGAGAGGTCCAATTCGGAAGTCGAATTCGGAAGTCGGAATTCTGAATTCGGATATCCGGATTCCGAGTTCCGGGTTCCGGATTCCAGGTTCCGGATTCGACCTCCGAATTCGGATATCCGGATTCCGGGTTCCGGGTTCCGGGTTCAAGGTTCCGGATTGGACCTCCGCGGATATCCAGATTCCGGGTTCCAGGTTCCAGGTTCCGGATAGGACCTCCGAGTTCCGGGTTCCGGGTTCCAGGTTCCGGATTG